ACATTCGTGCAGCGTGGTGAGCGGCAACGGCGTAGTGGCGATAGCTCGGAGTGACATTACCTGCGGCCTCCATGATAAACGACTACTGGGCCAAAAGTGTAATAAAAATCACACTGGGGGCCACACCAGCTGTCAGGCGGAGATTGGCAGACTGTCATTACGAAGCATCGTGGAGCAGTGCGGTGCTCCCAGCGCCGCACTTGGATTGCGTGGGCTCTAATATGGCAAGCCCTTCCCAAATCTCACACCCAGGGAAAGTTCAATTTAAATCTTCAGCCTAATTACACCGGACAGCGGCAACACAATTACTTTTTTAAAGATGTGGAACGATGTGGCTGCACGGACTCGCAGCTGAGAATCAATGTCAATTGCCACAACGTATTAACCTACTCCAAAGAAAACATTGGGCTGAGACCAGCTCCCAGGTTATTTAGTGATTTGAGCCGCAAATGTTTGAACATGTTGAATAAAGTGAAAAAGTAAATGCCCAACTCATCCCACAGTATATTTTTGAACAATTCAATCACATGCAAGATTTCACATCGATGAGCGTAATGCAAATATGCAGTCAACGGGAAGGGTATTCCTCCTGTAAATAAAGCACGAATAAAAATGCATGAAATCATATATATTCTATTTACTATGTATGATACACGAGGGACACACGGCTTGGGGAAATGCATAAATGTTTGTGTTCCAGTTGTGCTCTCACATTTCCACAGCTCAGTATTCTCTCTGACCCTTACACGGCACTTGCGAGTGGCATTTGTTAGTGAGGTGTCATGGAGGTCATGGTGCAGCATCACATCTGACGGGCAGTATAGGCTGCATCCACCCTCACTGTTGATGTCCCCTTCAGAGACACCTAGCTGAATCTGGGTCCATCTGTCTTGCCCAACAGACTCTGCTTAACTCTTTGGTGGTACGAGAGCACAAAGCATGAAAGGATAAAGTAGCATCGAATGATCAAACATTATTCCAATCGCTATCAAACCAAGTGTTTTTTTACTTTCAATTATGATATTCTGATTGTGCTAATTGCTTAATGTCGTGAGACAGGGACATTAGAATTTGGTCACCGTGAGCAGGGAATCACATGATATCAGAAAATGGACCCTGAAAGATGACATCACACAACTACTTCTGAAGTCCTTTCAACGAGCCTCTTTTCCACAATGGTGGCATAATCATCATAATCAGTTATAGCCAAACCACTTCTGGATAAAGGCTTCCCCAAGCCCATTCCATTTTTCACAATCATTCACAATGTAATAATCGACAAGTGCCGATTTTATTAATCTATCTCCTTGGTCGATGTGCGCAGATGCGTTCCACTTTGTGGCATACCTCTTTATACGCCGTGCAAATAATGTTCAATTGCATAGTAAACATAAAATCCTTTATCAATTACGTAACAAAACTAACTTCAGACCATCAACATGCTATACTTGAGAACTTGCCTTATTCTCTGGCAGTCGCCCAGACATGGGCTCCGCAGTGCCGGTTCAGGACTCTACCAAGGAATTAGCCTCCTGAGCCACTCATGTCACCACAGACAAGGTCTCATCCAAGAACCCTTAACACAGAGGAGCAAAGCCACGTATGGGTCAATGTCATTGCTAAAATGTTATCCCCAAACGAAAAGGGTCCCTCGGGCAAAGCAAAGGCTCTCTAAGAAGGGACTTGGCATCGGCCCGCCAATGTCGGGGATTCCATCTGTGGCCTCACAGCCTCAATCTAAGATGCGTGTGACTGCAGGAAAGCCTGGCAGCATCGGCAACTCGTGAATAAATGATAAGTGGAATTCATAGAAGTTACGATTTAGCCAGTGTCACATCCACGCGCCTGTGTCTTTCATGTTGGCTCTGTGTTGTTGGTCAATAATCGCTTCAAAAGCCCTTTGTGTGCCAAGCCTCTCTGTCGGCAATGACAACGACCGCCTTTACAAGCTCATATTTTCACAACCGTATTTGCATTGCACACAAGTCATATGGGCCGTTTTTTGGAAAGAAAAACAAATCGTTTTTTCAGATAATGACAAAGTATAATTCACCTTCACATTGGCTGCATTATTATTATCATAGCACAGTTCAGCATCTAGTAGGTATTTGGTGCTATGAGCAGCTGTATATGAAAACATGTTACCGTCGTGTCATTTTTGCAAGTAATTTTCTGACAATTTATTTTATCGTCTATGAAAACGATTTCAGCGTAATTCAAGGGCTTTAAATGTGGCTACAAGTATGTTTTGTACTTCCTCACTATCAAATCAATTCGTGCAGGCTACACCTTGCTAAGAGAGCTTTAAAAGTGCATTATTTTATTTTATCTATTTCATTTTTAAAAATACCTTGATCAAATTCTAATTGAAAAAATAGACCATTTGGTGTAAGCTTTGACACCTTGAAAAGCCATCTGTTGATTTTATGTCAATAAATGCTTTCGTTTGGCTCTGGGAGAGCCAGTGTATTTTTGTGTGTGCTATAGTAGTTTGTAACTGCTGCATTGTTCCACTTGGCAAGAGGCCGACGGCTCATAGTCATAGGCCATTTTGGCAGGTGATGACAGTTTAAGAAACGGCCAAAAACAAAACATCAATCGCCGTTTATCTGGCGCTGAAAAAAAACACTCCTTGTGCCCGTATTTTAAAAGGACTGCAGGCTTCAGGTCACACTCTAAATACTTTGACACTCAAACACTCGATTTGACACTTAAACGTTGACATGCTAGGCTGGATGTGTAGTAAAAATTGTTGCGCTTTTTGGGTCGTATACTTTGTTCCTCACTCATTCCATTGACATTTGTGAGTGTGAGCTAAAAGCAACCTTCGAAATATATCACAGTAAATACTTCTCCTGCTGCACGTTTATGTTGACATGAATACGAGGCACTATTTGTTTATTTTAGAGTGAGCTGTAACAAATCAAACGCAGAGAGAAAAATCAAGGTTTCTAGGATTTAAAAACAATCAAGCTTTGATTCATTCAATTGTGTGCACCACGTGAGGCATTGCCACAACCAGGATGCCAACTCTGGGACATGATGGTCGAGTGCCCAGTAACATTGGCTGGACAGAAGCCATGCCTTCGCGCGGGGGACTGCGATTCATTGCAATTGCAATACTGTTTTCCCAACTGTTGGGCAACATTTGAGAGGGGGGGGGGGGGTGTCAACGATGAGTTTGGGGGGTGGGGGGTGAAGGGCAGAGGATGAATCTGTCAGTCTGGGCGGAGGGCACTCTCCCGATAAGGGAATTGAGCTGCACTGACCGGCCGACGGGTCAACATGTCAGCGATGAAAGTGCTGTTAGTGGAGTGCCTGGGAAAGAAGTGGCACTTTAAGCTGAGACCGACAGGTACTAAATATCAAAGTGCATTTCGTCTCGATGAAGCGAACTTGTAGATATAATAAAAGTACAACACGTGGGAATTTAAAAAGGACAACACTAATCATATTTATAGTGATTTGGCCACGTTCACAGATTGCTGCTATTTTAATGGCCTTGTTTCTTGGGTAATGAAAAGGAAATCATCGCCGTAAAGTGTCTACAACTCTTTTATCTGGCAACAAAACTGACACCTTGTTTTACAAGGAGTCATGTTTGCATTGAACACAATACCTGCGGTCGGAATGCATGGTGTTGGACCAGATGACACGTCAGGCAAGCGCATTACATTATTGGAAATGTTTATTCTCCCTGCGCAAGTTGCAGAGCTTATGACATCAGCAACTTTATTCCTGTGAAAAATAACTTGATGAGAAATCTCCATGGCAACAGCCGAGAAGGGCCTCCCCAATGGCGGATTGTAAGTTACCCTCGCGAATTAAATTAAGCTCGACTCGGTGCAACTGCTGGTCTCATTAGGGATGCACTTGCTATGTAAAGAATTTACACCAGACAAACACACGTTTTACAGAAAACGTAAAAGATACTGAAATGATAGAGACAATTGAATTACAAGCAAGACCTTTAATTAATATATTGATTTTTTTAGGTTTTTGCAGTCAATATTTATATTCTCACTTCATTATTGGGCTAGGCCACGCAATCGTTTGGCCAAATTTCTTTCGTAAGACCATCCAAGATCCGACTTATCCAAATAAGTTCAATTGTAATGTGTACAAGGGTTTAACATGCCAATTAATAGTTTCAGCTCACTAATACGTCGCAAGAGCAATTCCTCCAACCAAATTCAGCAATTAGATATCCCGGTATCTTTCCATTTATGAACGCTCGTTTTACGCCATTTTGCGTAAACGCAACTGGCTAATTATGGACAGATTTCGATAAACGAAATGACATTTTCCGCGTGAACGAAATTTCACATGGCACACACCATGAGGACCAACAAGAACGACCCGGGAGGCTGCGACATCCACCCGCGACAACATCACGGTATCAACCGCAGGGCAACAGCAACGCCTCCAGTCATTCCAAACATGCAGATTTTTTGGTGACTTCCCTGAAAAGGTGAATTATTTTAGTTTCCAATTAATTATAATTCAATCGATTATATATATGGTCTTCATTATTATTTTTGTATTGTGAACAAATATTGGTGGATAGTTTTATGTAAGGAGTAGAGTTGGAATAACATCGATCATTTTAGTATTCTGAAATTTCGTTTAGCGCGTGTGTTTTTGAAGAAATGTATCCCTTTCGTAAATTGAGGGATACCAGCACGACGTTTTAGCATGAAACTACATGAAGCATCTTCTGACCTCCAAGATATTACCCTCACTTCCTGGATTCATGAAATAAATTACGAATTGCGTTGCTTTCTGGATATATTGCTGCTGTTATAATAAAAATACAACACAATAATTGCCTACGTAGCAATTATTTTAAACAGAAAGAGGAACACATGGATCACGGAGCAAATGGCCAACGATGAAAAAGACGCGGTAATATTATCGCAATAAAAGACCGGGGGTTTGTTGGCTAGTGCTGCGAATGTTAATGCTTGTGCTACTGTGGCTGCCACTGCTGTTGGTGGCAGGAGCCGGAGGCTGGTCACCAGGCCGGGTAGACCGGGTCCCGTGGCTGCAGCTGGAGCTGCCAGGCCGGGCGGAGGTCACCGCGCTCGCCACCCAGGGTCGCTACGGCAGCTCGGACTGGGTGCCTCGCTACCTGCTGCTCTACGGCGACTCTGCCGGGAACTGGAGGCAATACCAGGAGGACGGGAATGCGTGGGTAAGAGGCGACTTGTGCTGTGCATTGCATTCAATATGCAGGTGGCGCTTGTCTATTTTTTTCTCTCTCCTGTATGTACATTCTCAATTATTGTCAATAAGCCAGGTTTTCGGATGATATGTGTGCTTAAAGCATGTTCAGTTGAATGCATGCACATCCACACAGCCATGTTGTCAAGCCACTGCCGAGCGAGGGCCTCCCAACGCTGTGCAGGTCCTCGGTATTGTTTGATCATACTTCACCACACTGCTCAGTGCTGATTAGTGAAAGGTGCGGTCGCATATATTGTTGGACCAGAGTTAAAGACAACAGTAGATTTTGCTGCCACTGCCCTCTGCTATCCACCATGTAGTCCTGCAGCCGCTTATAGCAACCTGTTTGTGCATGGTTGTCATCCTTCTTGGCACTGTTGCAGGCTCATACCTGCTTAGCTTCTGACATGTAACAAGATGCATTCCTAGTTATTTGGTCATACGTGTTTATTTTATATATATGCAGGACTGCATCTACTGTGATTGTGTAACATTCTGGGCATTGGTTTTTAGGACCTAGCTTACAGTTGAATTTACGTTTTAAATGTGAAAGAATATTGCATCATAACGTGCCTCGGAACGACTGCCCTCATCCACATGGCGTTTGAAAGATTCTTGACGGCATGAAACCAAATACAGATGTAGGTCTTTAAGCAGCTCTTAACCTTTAACACAGCTAATTGACACAGATGACCAAAACAATGATGGCCATAAATATTAAACTTTACTTTCGCAAGTGGACGGGACGTCTCCTTTATTGTGCCCTGGAGAGAAACTTTTGATGTGCAAATTAATTTTGCTGGCAAAGGGACCGTGCACCCCAATGTAGGCCACACTGCCAACCGAGAAGCCAGCTGTCGTGCCACTTGTTACCAAATTACAAAGACAATGTTAATGGCCATTGTACAAATGGAGTAACAGGAGTGACTGCAAATATTATCACTCGCCGCCTCATTTGCTGCTCCGACATGTTTCCCTTTGCTCAGCAGAAATTTTCAGTGGCCCTTTAAACTGCTACAAACTCTGAACGCGCGTATACAGTACACGTGCTATACAATAAGCATCAACCATCATTATTACTGAAGTAATTTCAATATCCTATAGACTTACGATGCAACAATCCATCTCGCACCTATATACGAGCGGCAGTGTAGCGGTTAGCACGCTGCACTACGAACCCGGCGACATGAGTTTGATTCCCACTCACGGCCAACACCAGTGACGATTAATGATCTAATGCAGTCCTGGGCCTCTCCATATGTAACTCAGCCTCAAATAATTACCAGGTACGATGCCACTTGGGAGACAAAGGCTGCTCGGGCGTGGTGTTGGCCTCCAACCTGCTTGTGTGCCGTGCCGGCCTTTGTAGGTGCTTAGGAATAGCACGTGCTCTAACAGTCTATTATAGGCTATAAGGGGGGATTTTTCTTCTATAGAAAAAGGATAATTAATTATTAATACTGTAATATTATTTACACTAATATGCAGTGCTGTGACATGTGGACAGCTTGCACTTTACAATAAGTGCTATGGGTGGAATTATTCAACCCCTGGCAATTCAATGAATTGTTGCGATTCAGGGTCAGGGTTCCAATTCAAGAAATCAATATTTGTGTTTTATCATTGTGCTGACTGGTAGTGCTTCTGGTCTCTGCAACCATGATGCAGGACCTGTTACATACAACGTACACAAATCTTAAAGCATTGGTCCTTACATATTTTATTTGATGCATGTATCATTGTGAGCTTAAGAATCAATATCAATACATTAATTGATGCATTGTTCGACGCAAAAATATGTAACACATGAAATAAACACTCAAGAGAAAATATTAGGTGTTTATACAGTATACAGTATTCCCTCGTTATTCACGAACTTGCTATCCGCTATTTTTGGCTGTCCACAAATCGCATTTGGAATTCTACACGACTGCATGAAAGAGAGAGAGAGAGAGAAAGAAAGTGATGAGAGAGAATGTGATGCCAGAAAATGATACGAAAATGTGATGAGATGAAATGATGAGAGAGAAAGTGATGAGATTGATTATTTACGTATTTCTTTAAGGCGATTCATTAAAAAAAATACATTTTCGTAGGCCAATATCGTTATCCGCAAAATGTGCAATTCACTAGCATCTCCAGAACGTATCCCTTGCCAATAGCGAGGGGATACTGTTTAATACATTTCAGTTTTGGCTGTATACCACTGTAAGTGTTTCCATATGTTGAAGAATTATTTAAGTGTATCTACTTCTATATTGGCATGTTTCCAGCAAAGGCTAGTTCTAAAACAGAGCTTGCATCGATGGCGTTTGCACAGACTCTCAAGTAGGTCACTCAGGAAGCGGTCAACTGCGTCTAATTACGCTTGCTAAATTAAGCGATACAGAACTGTCTAAAATGACATTACTCGGTGATCTGCTGGTGGTTAGGATTCTGCTCGACGGTGGAATGCATGGTGCTAATGGCACAGACTAAAAACAAACTTGTCTTTTGAGCCATAAATGAAAGCCTTATTTTTTGGTATTGTCTTTTTGTGTTTAATTGTGTGTCCTTTTCTATTTGTGAATAGCAGATGCTTGTTGTTTTGTGTTTTAGTTGCGCTTTTAAAACATGCATCTATAAATGTTATGCAGTAATTGGCAATGATGCAAAAACATACGAATTTCAGTTATGTGTGTGCATTTGGGCATTCTCATATTATACATGTACATTCTTACTGTTGTTTTATGGTGTTGGTTTACAAAAATCCCAAACCATTACATATTTATTCAATTACACAATATTTCTTTTCAATTTTATTATCATGCCATCCGCCATGTTCATCTGAATTATAATTAAATAGCAGCTCAAAGCCCCTTTGCAGTCTCACTGTTGAATCTGCTCTAAAATAAAACGGATCAATAAAGCTGTGTGCTTTTCAGACACCAGATTATATGGAATCAAGGATAATGTACACCAGTCCATAATCACTCTCCAATCTAATGCACAATTCCGGGCTGTAATACGTTCATATAATGGTGGACTTCAAGTCAAGGCACCAAATCTATTAGATTTTTTTCTTTTCCATTGTTTATTATTATTATGTGGACAGTTGGGGGCTTAAAAAAATCAACCCATAATCCAGTCTGCTGGGATTCAGCCTTTGGACCAGAAAATGCCGTGCATTGCAAATTTTTATCGGCTAAATTCAGCTGCCTTAATTAACCAAAGGGCAAATGAAGAGGGGCTTTATCGGATTATAAATATGATCCTCCATTGCTGTTAAGGTTATAGAATGTGCTCATTGCTGGGCACATTACACAATTGACAAATAATTGAGGACTGTAAAAAAAAAAACATTTGAATATTATTCATATTTTCTGCTAAACATATGAATATCCTGATTATAAAATAATTCTTTAATATAAAAAATGCAAGTGAAAAGTGTCCAATATGTTATGCTGATGTCACTTTACTGCAGCAAAATTTAACTGTGAATAAAGATAAAAAATATATATAATTTACCCAAACAATTTAAGCTCCTTAAAACATTGAAAAGAGCACTTGGAATAACATTTTTATATTACGGTTGTCCACCGAACTTATAACTGCTGCATTGTATTTGAATGTGCATTAACCAAATTGGCTTTTGCCTGCAAACTGTCCCACAGCACTCATTATAAGTGGAGGTGCTCGCCTAAGTTAGGAGAATTACAAATGAGAAATAAAATATAACTTGAATATCCAAAATATGAATTTCTAAAGCAGGAACTGTGCTAATGTTTGGGCCATTATGATACTGCTTCATATGTTGGCAGTACATTTGCTGTTAAACGAGCAGAATTTTCAGCAAACAGTTATCATCCAATAAAATATTTACTGGCAGTAAAGGAACTATGCCATGACAATGAGGTCTGGTGGTTAGCGATAAATAAGGTACTGACAAGGTGTTAATAATGGCAAATAGCCATCTAACGTGTGTACTGTTTACTCTTGCATTGAATTTTGTTGTGTCGTTTTTAATTTGCTTTAACGATTGAAATGGAAGCACTCGACAAACTCTGACCCAAGCGTCCATTGCGCGTGGGAGGAATGGTTTACTTTTAAAATAAGTTTCAGGAATTTTTTTTTTTGCTGTCCAGAATCTTGAAACAAAAAAATTGAAAAATAACGCTCTAAAAAAGGTCAATCCATATAATTTGCAGATACTTTCAAAGCCATTTTGAACCACGGACAATGTTGTCTTTAGCCAGCGTGTGTCTAAAGCGGATGCGATTGATGCATATTGAGTAAATCCCCAAAGTCAATTGTGACATAAAATGCCAAAAGGCATTACTTTTATTGTGCGAAATTATTTATCCGGCAAGCTACAATCCCACATGACCTTTGTTTTGCTTTGGCCGCATGATGCCAAAACAAAACTGTGAGCAAAAAGGTCCCTTTGGTAAACAAAATAAAGTGCATTAATCATTATCGTCCAGATGCAGCCCACTGAGCGTATTGATCAGCATCATTAACAAAACCATCGTGGGAAATAAATCAGGAGTTTGGTAATTCAGCACAACCGCATTGCGTGCTTGCTAATCGTAATCCGAATGCGCGGCCATGTCGCCCGCCCCATTTTCGCATGCATCGTCCATATATTGAGTAGCTCTGTTGCTAATTAATGATATATCATGTTGCTTGTTACGCAGCGTGATTCCGTGAATTGATCATGTTTGCGTTTTTCTACTTTTCACTGCGTGTGAGAAGTGACTGAATGAAGGGCTGCTCCAAGGAAACCTGATGCATACGTTCCCTGCACTCATTGAAGACGTATGGATCGTAGGCTTGTAAACATTTTACTCACGCTGCGCATCTCTATTTACATTGGTCTTCTTGTGCCTGACTACAGCACACACAATAGCCTGGCTCAAAACGCTTTGTTATCTGCTCTCTCATAAATACGAGTGAAGGTCAAGGCATGCTTTTATTTATTTAACATCA